TTACTTTTTATCATCTTCAATTTCCTTCATCAATGTTTTACAGTTTTCAGAGTATAGGTAACCACCTTGGTTAAGTTTACTTCTAGGTATTTTGTTGTTTTTGATACAATGGAAATGTTTACGCCAGTTTTAAATTCTGGTTTTTGAAGCAAAAAGAAAAAAAAGTGAACAAAGGGCTGCAAATGGCCATAAAGATAAATATCTTTCCTTATGGGTGAGTTGTATGCCATATGCTGCATCTTCTTTATCCCTTCATCTATTGACGTGCACTTAGGATGCTTCCGTATCTTGGCAATTATAAATGTTGCTGTTAATAGCAGGGTGTGTGTATCTTTTTGAATTCTTATTTTTGTGGTTGGCTTTATTCTTTTGATAACTATGTAAAGTTTAAAAAGCTAAAGCTCTAAACATTCTTAGAAACAATGAACAGTACATATATGTAAAATTTTAAAAACGTGCAGGATATTGTGTATGTGCAAACTAACAATTCTACCTAATAAAAGGGAAAAAAGAAAAGAAAAAAAACACAGCTCACCAGTATCTCCCAGAATGGAGACTGAACACTCATCCAGAGCCCTGATTTTTGGGACTGTCACCCAGGGGACACCTCCAGATCACCTGGCTCTGGTGGTCAGCCGGACTTACACTTGCAGTCCCACAGGGCTATATATATTGGCATACTTTGGAAGCTGCTGCCTAAGGGGCTGACTTTCAATTAGCCTGAATCTAAGTGCCAGCTAAGATCCTCCGGTTTGGCACAGTGACAAGTCTTGGCACACCCTCAAAATAAAATAGGCTGCTTGGCCAGTCACAAAGGTTTGAGAGACAACTAAGAACTAGGGCAAAGTTGAATGAAAAGGTTCATCTCCTACACAAGACCACTACTTCAAGAATAAGAGAACCACCAGAAACCAACACAGAGATTTAAGCAAAATGCATATTAACATTTCTCCCAGGAGAAGAGTGAGAGAAAGAGGGCAGAAAACTTATTTGAAGAAATAATGGCTGAAAAATTTCCTATTCTGAGGAAGGAAACACATCCAGATCCAAGAAGCCCAGAGAGTTCCAAATAAGAGAAACTCAGAGACCCACACCAAGACATATAATTAAAATATGAAAAGAACAAGGAAGAAATAAAAGCATCAAGAGAAGCACAACTTGTTATATACAAGGAAATCCCTAAAAGGCTATGAGCAGATTTTTCAGCAGAAACTTTGCAGACCAAAGAGGCGTGGCAAGAATACATTCAAAGTGCTAAAAGGAAAAAAATTTCCAAACAAGAATACTCTGTTGGGCTAAGTTAGTTTTCAGAACTGGTGCGCAAAAGCTAAAGGAGTTCATCACCACTAAACTGGCCTTCCAACAAACATTAAAGGAACTTTAAGCCAAAAAGAAAGGATGCTAGAAGTAGCTAGAAAACACATGAAAGTATAAATGTCACTAGTAAACATAAATACAGTAAAGGTAGTGGATTAATCATTTATAAAGCTAGTATGACGATTAAACAACAAATACAGGACAAATAACTATAACTACAATCATTACTTAAGAGATACACAACATTAAAAGATGTAAAATGTGGCAAAACATAAAACATCAAAAATATAAAACATGGGGGAATAGACTAAAAACCTAGAGCTTCCAAGTGCATTCAAACTTAAGTCGTTACACATAAGCCTCATGGTACCAGAAAGAGAAGAACAGAGAGGAACTACAAAACAGCCAGAAAACAGTTAACAAAATGGCAGCAAGTACATACCTATCAAGAATTGCTTTAAATGTAAATAGGTGGAAAGCTCCTTAAATCATAGTTTTGGCTATGATTTTTTTGGATCTGATTCCAAGCAGAAAGGCAACAAAGGTAAAAATAAATAAGTGAGACTATATCAAACTAAAAAGCTTCCACACAGCAAAGGAAACCAACAAAATGAAAAGGCAACCTACAGAATGGGCGAAAATATTCACAAACCATATCTGATAAAGGGCTAATATCCAAAATATATTTTTAAAAAACTTATACAACTCAATAGCAAAACACTACAATCCAATTAAAAAATGGGCAGTACATCTGAATAGACATTTTTTCAAGGAAGACAGATGGCCAACGGGTATGTGAATAGTGATATTGAGCATCTTATCAGGAAAATGCAAATCAAGACCACAATGAGATATCACCTCACACCTGTCAGAATGACTGTCATCAAAAAGTCTACAAATAACAAATGTTGGTGATGATGTGGAGAAAGGGGAATCCTTGTCCACTGCTGGCAGAAATGTAAATTGGTGCAACTACCAAGGAAAAAAGTATGACAGTTCCTTAAAAAATTAAAAATAGAACTACCATTATGATCTTGTAATTTCATTTCTAGGTATTTATCCAAAGAAAACTAAAACACTAACTCAAAAACATATGTGCACCCCCATGTTCATTCAGCATTATTTATAATAGCCAAGACATGGAAACAATCTAAGTGTCCACTGATGGGTAAATGATAAAGAAGTTGTGAGATGGATAGGTAGGTAGATATACACACAATGGAATATTATTCAGCCATAAAAAGTTGAGATCATGCTATTTGCAATAACATGGATTGACCTCAAGGGCATTCATTATGCTAAGTGAAGTAAGAGTATGATTTCACTTATATGTGGAATCTTAAAACACTAACAAAAACCTAAGTTCATAGATACAGAGAAAAGATTGGTGGTTACCAGAGGCAGAGGGTGGGAGGTGGGTGAGGGAGTCACAAGTTACAAATTCCAAGTTATAAAGTAAGTCATGGAGCTATAATGTATAGCATGGTGACTATACTATATTGCACATTTGAAAGTTGCTAAGAGTAGATCTTAAAGTTCTCATCACAAGAAAAAAAATTTCATTTCTACATCTCTGGAAGTTAGATTTTTTAGAAACCAATTTTCTTTCAAATTATAAGAAATTTAAATTTAATGCTTACAAAAGTTTCTGCTGTGATTGACTTACTTGGATCACTTCTTGGATTAGAATGGCCAAGGACCATGAAAGATGAGCCATAGCTACCCATATTAAATTATTCAACAGTCAGTCCTGTGCACTACCTGAAGAGCAAACGTGGATGAAGGGCAAATACAGATGAATTTGGAGCTATTATATGAAAAAACAAAAAATTCAATGAGGTAGAAATGTCAAAATAATGTAGAGAACTACAAGTACCTATTCTACATGTTCTATGGTATAATGTAGAATTTCAGTGGGATAAGTACTGTTTTACATTTATATTATACTTAATAAATTACCAAGCCTATTCACAAAAAAATATATAAACAGCTTTACATGAAGTCAGCAGACTGGTAAAAACTGGGTCATAAACTACAGCATCTTGGCTATTCTTCAGGGAGTTCAGCAGAATAAACTTCTGCAATTATGATTTTGGTCCCTGTCTCCCCATGTGAGACCCATGTCTTAAATTTCTGTTTAATATTTCAGCAATCACCTACCACTAAAGGAATACTGTTCTTTGTTTTATTTTATTTGATGAAACAAGAGACCCAAACACATTCTCTGAAAATTACTTTCAAGATAGCTTGCCAGTGAGGCCACTGTAGGTTACATAGCCAGATGTCTGCCATGGGCTCCAGTTTCTGAGAACTGGGGAAACGAAACCAGAGGTCCCCCACCCAACACAACTGAGATGGCAGGTCTGACCGTAGGTTAGAGGCAATAAACTGCCACACCTAAGGCCCTACCCTAATTCCTTCAATAAAACAGCATCTGTTTTAAATATCAGAGGAAGGAATGAAAGATGATGGCTTGAACATACAATAGGGACACAAGAAATGCCTCTTCCCTTGTATAGTGAAAGTGCTGTCTTTGTTGAAACTGTTTCTTTCAAGTATAGAAATTAAGGGAGGAAAACATAATCACTCTTTCCCTCACCCTCCACTCCCTACCCAAGGTGTAAAGGTAGTGATAGTGATGATAAGGAACAAGAGGACTTGCTCAAGAGATGACAAGATAAGCCAAAAACAATAGGGAGATAACAATTTTAAAACTAGAGGGCTTGCAGACATCAGACCCCTCTTCATTTTATTCCAGCATATTTTTTTAAAAGACGTGAAAAGAACAAAACATTCCTTTTCATCTTTTTGCTTTCAGTGTAAGCACATATTTTTTGAAGTTAAGACCCATCTTGGTTCTTTGCAATTCGTGTAAGTCTAGAAATCTTAGGTGTACGCAGGCCAGGGGCAAGTAGAGAACTCTACTTCCACCCAGTCATGTTTCTATATAATTAACGTAGCTGTATGTTAGTCGACCTTGGAGACTGAAAGTTGAGTTTTCCAAATGAAGAATTTTGTCAGATTAAGGGGAAAAAAAGATCCAAACAATGAAGAATGTTGAAAGTACCACCTAAGTGGAGTCTAGGTACATAGAAACTTAGCATGCAGCGTGACTGCATTTCACATTAGGACCCCAGAAGATCACCTTTAAAGTGATAAGTTTTTTGCAGTAGCATTCTTGTTTAGTACACATAAAGCAGGGTTTTTTGTTCCCAAGCAGCCTACCAATGCCAAGGACCTTTTTCCTGCTTCCTAAAGGTGACCTTTTAAACAGGCAGCCGCATATAGTACCATGTTTACGGACACTTCCACAAGATAAAGTACCGCAGCACAAAAGCATATTGTCCTAAATGCACCATATGGATCGAAATGTCTCTGTTTACGTGTAAGTGGCGAAAATAAATCAGAGTGATATCTAGACAAAGCTACACTTTGATATATGAAGAATCTGTACAACTACATGTTTATAGTATGATGAAGCCTATGGTGCCAGATAAGAAAAATGCATTTTGCAGGTAGACCTAAATCTTTATACTGTTGTGATTTTTAACTGACCTGTCTCTTTTCATCATGGAGTAGGCTTCACGACCATAAATATAGGAAACAACTGACAGTATAACTCATCCCTTGAAAATAGTTTGTTCTTAGCAGTTATGACAGTTTAAAAAAAAGGCTTTACTTACCCCAGACAAGGACAATGTATCTCAGTGGAATGAAGTACAGGATGACTGTGAACGCACAGAGGGCTACAATGGCCAGCCAGCTTAAGAATGGGACGGTCCAGTTGAAAGTGCTGAATGAGAAATTAACACATCAGCAATCTGAGCACTTCATACTTTTTTCAAACAAAGATTAAAATAAATGTGATTCTGATTAAAAATCTGGACTAAGGATCTAGTAAAGACTGGAATTCTCTCTGGAAGAGAAGCCAATTGTCATAGGCTATAAGACAACACAGGTGAGTCATAATTGGCTCAGCTCCACGAACACAGGACCTGGGTAAAGAGTGATGCCACCAACCCCTCCAGATTGTCCCAGGTGACTTCAGGATCCATAGTCTTGCACTACTTGGGTGACTCCCATGGTTTAAAAATCTTTTTCTACTTCTAAAACTAGTACTCAATCTTGTGTTCTCCAAATTTTCATAGAGGAGAATGCCCCTGGCCCTACCATTTTTTCTTCTATGAACTGTCATACAGGATTCCCCACGGAAAAAAAAATGTTGCCAGCAATTGTCTGTGGACCTAAAGCTTACACCTTTGTGTAACTCAGAACTGTAGAGACCCTCAGAGGAATAATTACTTCTCACTTCAGCTATGTTTCAAATGGAACTAGGTTTTTCCCAGAAATACATACATAATAAAGAAATAAAATACCATATGATATCACTCATATTTGAAATCTTAAAAAAAAGACAAACTTATTTGCAAAACAGAAAGACTCTCAGACAGAACAAACTTGTGGTTACTGGGGGGGAGGGGCCTAGGGAGGGATAATAAATTGGGAGTTCGAGATTTGTAGATACTGATTGGTTGGTTGATTGATTAATATAGAGATAGATAAACAAAGTTCATGCTGTATAATGCAGGGAACTATATTCGGTATCTTGTAGTAATTTATAGTGAAAAACAATATGAAAATGGATGTATATATGTTCATGTATGACTGAAGCATTGTGCTGTACACCAGAAATTGATACATTGTAAACTGACTATATTTCAATAAAAAATATATATACAAAAAAATAAAGAAATAGCATTCCCTACTATTCTCCCTATATAGTTTCTAGCAAAGGAGAACATTGCACATGGTTGATTTTTAGGGGGCTAGTGAAAAAAGAGTGTAAGCTGGAAAAGCGTGGGTTATAATGAGGCCCTGGTTGATGGGTCTGCAGGGTTCTCACTGCTGGTGACTGAAAATGTAGAGGGTCAAGGAAGGCAGCAAGACTGAGTATTGACAGAGAGATAACATCAGAACAAAGAATGAAAGTGGGATCAGTGAACAGAAGGAGAGGAAGTTACAAAAAAGAGTACTAAGATGGGAAGAAATTTAATGGGACAAAAAGGAGAAAAAAAGAAGAATCAAGACAGAAGGCAAAAAAGTTGATGTAGAAAATCAGGGAAATAAATAAAAATCAGGGAAATAAATAAATAAATATATATATATATATAAAAGAAAATCAGGGAAATGGAACATGGAAAATATAGTTTAAGGCTTTTTGTGTAGAAAAGCTGTAGTGAATCTCTGGTAGTTTTTAAGAGAGTGGCATGGCAAAATTATAAAGTACACAGAACCACTGCACGGCGCCTTCAGGATTGGGCTTATAACCATATTGCTGTTTACAGCATACCATTGCATCAGTGTTCCCTCTCCAAAGAGGGACAAACACATCTTGTTGAGGGACTCTCTAGCATAATTTAATGAAAAAAAAAAAAACAAGCTAGTAAATTTGTGTTTCAAAGCCTAGATTCTGCTTCTTGACTTCAGACAGCCAACCTCTGTAAAAGTCGACTTTCCCCTTTATAAAATGGGAACAGCTTTTATTGGCCAAGGAAGACTGGTAGTGATGGTAACATGTTTATGTGAATCCAAGTGGTATTATTAGAACTGATCAACTCTCGGAGTCTAAAGTATGGCATTTCTTTTTATAAAGCCATGAGATGGGCCCTAAAGACACCTCAGGAAAATACGGAATTGTACATGACATGGATAAATAAATGTTAGTGTTTTTTATTTCTTATAATTTCCTGGTAAAGAATGTTATATTCACTTGGGGTGGGGTTTTCCAGGGCAGGTTTTGTTCCAATAAAGGATGACTGTCAAGAGATTTTTCTCATGCACTGCCCTTCAGCAGATCACTTAGAGTTATTCCTTAGCTTTGTGGCATATGGCTTGCTTTTCATCTCTCTCTAGGTCAAATGTTTCCTAAAAATGCTTTTTTTCTAGTAAAAGAGCCAAAGCTGGATCAATCTGCTTATCTCATTTTTAGAGTTTGTAACTCTTGGGGTCTGGCTTTTCTGTCGTGTTTTCTTCCTCCTGTGGCCAGAATGAATGTCCTGTAACTGTCATCAGGAAAAGGATGCCTCTCCTCCTTCACTGACACCTATACTTCCTTGCCTCTGCCTGCTTGTGGAGAGAACAGAAGGCTTAGGATCTGCTCGCTTTCCTGTGGCTCAGCTCAGAGCCATCCCTCCACCACTCCATGTGCGGGGGCCCTGCCTCCTTCTGGGCAGGCTCACGGCAGTGCTCCCTGTGTTCTCCTTACTCCTCTTGGAAGGATAAATGGCAAAGAATAGCAGTGTAGTTAATGTCAGGGAAAAAAAAAAGACTGCCCTTTTCTATTTCCACAGTGCATTATGGAATCTAAATCTAGAATATGATCTTACACCCCAAAAGAGACACAATTCAAGAAAGTTCTGGAATGATTATTTAGTAACAAGATGTGGTAATTATGAAGGCTTTCATTTTGTACTTAAAGATTGCTTCTGAATCTGCTTTCTGGATACATGCATTTTACCCTATGTGACCCCAAAGGAGTCTCTCTTTTTCACTATTCCAAACATTGTGCAGAAAAGATGGCTCCTACAAGACTCACTGGATCCTATGCTGTTCCTATACCTCAACCAATTCCTGGCTATACCTTGGAAAGTTCTACACAACCCAGTTTTTCCCAAGACTGGTCCACAGCCAGGATCTGGTGGTGTCCTTCAATTGGCCACAGTGTTTTCCAGCCCAACACCTGTTGTTGAGGTCTCCTACCCCCCAGTGTTATGAAGCAGCCTCTCCCACTCAGGTATTCACCATCGTGACCTCAGAGCTGCCCCCAGGATCTTCTGGTATAAATGAGAGGTTTCTGTCAGGTACCTCAGACAAAGAACAACACTCAATAGGGAAATGCCCCATTTGGGACTTCACACAATGCGTCAGTGGATAGGTTGTAGAGAGCAGGGGAACAGTCTACGAGCTGGAAATAACATGGAGAAAAAGAAAAGACGTGGAAATCAGTCTTCAGAAGTCTAAGACTGAATGTTGCTCAGAGGCACATTTGGGGGTGAGAGGGAGTCTGTTCTGTCTAATCCGAAAAAAGAAGGTGGAAAGTCACCTATGCACATGTGGAAATGTATTAAAAAAATACACAAAATAAAATGCATTATCCCTTGAAACATGAAAGGCACCAGATGAATGACTCACACCTTTAGTGTAAATAATTTACTCCTTTCAACTTCTGTGTATGCCTAAGGACCCAAATCTGCAGAACACTTTAGGTTATGAATAATAAACAATGAATCGATACATGAAACTGGGAAAATGTAGGCTTTTCCAGATATACAGCACCCCCTCTTGAAAAGACCATTTAAAAATCATTATGTAGGCCACTTTTCACATAGTTTAGTAATATGAGGCCTTAGTATATTGTTTACTGATAATTAATTATAAATCTGCCTTACCGTTTTTATAATGAAAGTTTCTTAAAAAATATATTAGTAAATAAAACAACTTAGAAACACAAGTAATATAAGTTTCTTAATTTTACATTAGATCTCAATGAAGTAATATTTTCTTCCTTTAAAAAATTAAGTTTTTTTAAACTATAAATTTATGTGTATTTTCTAAAAGCATTAGCTTCTTTTATCTGTGATTATGATCTCAGCTATTTAAATCCACAAAATTGAAAGAATATTTTTGCAGGGTGCTATATATAAAATATAGTATTTTAAAAATTTAGAGTAACTTCATGAAAATATAACTCATCCAATAATAAAATGCAGGTGTGTCTTGATTACCTGAAATCCTTATTTAGCTTTTTTTTTTCCTATCACGATTTCATATTCTGCGTAAGAACAAAGTTACACTGTGAAAATGTGAGAAAATTCAGGACGGTGTTATTTCTTCAAAGCTACAAGTATGACTTCTTTCCAACCAATATGTTCTAAATTTCCAAGAAGGAAAATGACAGAACTTTCATAAAACCAAAGACTGGCAGAAACAAAGTAAATAATGATGAAACTGAGTGATACATCACCCAGAAAGAGTGTCCCCTGTCAGAAAGAATGTGGCTTTTCACCCTCTGAGAAACAAATGGACATTGTCCCACAGAAGGCCAGGGCTCACATGTCAGCATCACTCACTTCTTTATCCTTTCGCCAAAGGAAGCCACTTCATCTAGGATATTCTGGACACTGATGCATACCTCCTGGATGGCATAGATTTTATTTATAAATCCCTTTTTTTCACTGTCCTAAAATACAATAAAGAAGAGAGAGAGAAAGAGACTTTATGAGTAAAGATATTCTTCAGTGCTTGAATTCTTTTAATTGTCCCACTCTTACATTTTTGAACTTAAACTTCATTTTTGCATATATATAAATGCATACATAGAGCGCATGAAAACTTCCGAATATCATCTGAGGTGGAGGAGGAAGAGTACCCAGCATTATCAGCCTATGCTAGTAGAAAAGTGGCTGCAAAGCCCAAGACTCAGACTCTGTTGCTCTTGCCCTGAAGAACAGGAACATTTCAGCCAGGGGGAGGGGAGGTGTAAAGATGTAAGGGCGAGATCAGGTCTCAGAATGACCAAATCTGGAAACTGTGCTGACCTGGGACCCACCATGACTCGTAAGACTTGGCAGACCCAGTTTCTTGGCCCCACTACCAATAGACCTAAGTTTGGTCTTGGCTTCAGATATTTTAACAGCAAGGATGCTGGATGCAAATAAGAAGACTCGTGAGCAATGAAAACTGCATGCATGCATGCATGCATGCATGCATGCATACATACATACAAGATCATCTGAAATCCAGTAAGTGGACCCTTCCTAAACAGCACCCTAAGTAGCTAAGATCACAGTAATCCCGGCCCCCATCTTGAGAGTAATAGTCACATATTTCATGCTATATTAGTCAGGGTTTGAACTAGGGATTTTTTCCACTCTTTTTATTTAATTCTCCATTTTAAAATTTGGGCTGGATTTAAGCAAAGCTGGTGTGCTCCAGGGGATGGGTAGGTGAGGACTGAGCATAAAACATCCAGAGAGTGGTGTCAGCCGAGGGGAAATGTGCACATTTTGTAATTTTAGACCCAGAGGAAGAAATCATGGCGGCCTTTCACGATGGAAAATTCTGCTTAGTAGCCTGGCATCACAGGCACTTGCCTAGACTGTTTGGTGGAGACCATCCAACCCATGACTCCATTCCCCCATGCCAGCTTGAGTATCTATGGAAATGTAGATCCAATTTCATTCCTTTAACTTCTTTTGAACACTCGCACACTGTGCCAGAACACTTGAGACCTCATGTGGCAGTCAGTGCTGGCTGAAAGCAGCCAGGAAGCTAGAATAATAATGTCGTCATGTTGCACATTTACATACTGACTTTATTTCAGAAGAGTCTAAAGCACTTTGCACTGTGAACACTTGGCTAGGGCTGGCATCCTGCCACCTTAGAAACCGAGGGCAAGTGAATGACGTGTGTGAGGACAACAGGGTACAGTGGGACTGAGGACATGGATGCCAGTCTTATAACATAATCTTTAGATACCAGTTACTTAGAGCCTTCATTTCAAATTTAATTCCCATGGGAGATACTGTCTACATTATTCATCTTGCTTATGCCAAAACGGACTGTCAGGCAATGAGGTAGACGAGATACATAAGGCTCAAAGTATAAGAACAATTACACACTCTCAGAGTCCCCACAGTCTTCAAAAGTCACCCTTCACTTGTCATTATGACAGGGGTGCATCAATTTCTTGTCTTTTTTCCCCTTCCCAGTAATAACGCAAAATGCATTAATTTCACCTATGCAATTAATTGTACATTTTTAAATAACATGGATAACCAGAGGCTCCTTCCATAATTACAAAGTTAGTCTGCTCTAATAATCTCCATGGCCTTCGGTGTCCTCTCTCAAGCACCAGCTCAGTTCATTTTTCACTATGAAGTAAAGTGCTCTTATAAACATATTTTAAATGCAGAATAAATAGAGCTGGAGTCGAAGCATGCTGGTTATACAATGAAAAGTTCATTGAGAATAATGTCTTACCAGCTTGAAATCATAATGTGAAAAATACTTCTTTCACAATAGCAATAAAATGGAAAATAGCCATATCTTAACAAGAAATGTACAGAATCTATATTAAGAAATTAGAGATACTATGTTTCTGCACTGGAATACTGAATATTAATTAAAAGAATGTATTTTTTTTAGTTGAACATAAAGATTTAATGCAACTTCTAGCAAATCCTAATGTGTTTCGAGTGGAATGAAATGGGAAGGATCTGATAAAGTGTTTTTAAAATTTGTTTGGAAAAATAAATGAGTACCTATAATCAAGAAATGTTTGCAAAAGATAAATAATGAGAAAGCATTTATTGTACCAGATACTTCAGTAATTAAGATATGAAAGATAAGCATTGAAAAAGAGATCACTGCATGATAAAGCACCATCATAAATCTATCATAAAGAAGGAAGTACTGTTACTAGGCAATTGTTTTAACTATTGCGGGAAAATTAGGTTAAATCCTACCTTAGTAGATTATTAAACCTATCTGAAATAGCTCAAATGTACCCCACCATCTACCTCAAATTAAGGTATACCCCAAATACACTGTAGATTAATTAAAAAATGAAAAGCTAAAAATGAGTTATAAAAATAGAGGAAAATATAGGTAAGTTATTTACTGTCCTTGGAATAGGAAAGAACTTTCTAAACACACAAGCAGTAAGGGAAACCACAAAGAAGAAGAATTGCTAGCAAAAGTTTACATAAAATTTAAAAGTTATTTTGTCAAAATTCATCATAAATTTAAAAGATTACATGGGAAAAGATTTCAACAAGTATGACAAATCAAGGGGTGGGATTTCCAATATATTCAATAAACATCTGAAAAAAATTCATTGCATTTATATGTATTATTAAAAAAAGAAAAGTCACTAACATGTTGGGTGGGATTAATTGTGTTACATACAACTGACAGACTATAAGAAAATCACAAAATACTGCTTAAAGACAATGACAATGTTTATGATCTAATAGAAAATGAAAAGACTGGGAAGTAAATGTGATAGAGTACAATCCTAACTTTTCCTTGAAATGGGTAGGTTCGAAAAAAGATGAAGGAAATGTGTCAAAATATTAAAGGTAATGGATGTTTACCTTCTTCACACCTTCCTGAAATATTCAAATTCTTTACAATTAGTATGTTTCACTTTTATAATCAAAATAATTCTCTGATTTTCCCCATTATCATTATTAAAGTAACATCTGTAGAAGACATGAATGAACTGGTACTCACTGGGCACGACTTTACAAGGTTTATCTATTTTTTCTTAATGTATTTTTTTGTGTTCTAAATTATTTTTAGGAAAAAAGCAAAGTGTAAATAGACACTCATTAAGCACTGTAATGTGCTGTTCACATAGCTCATTCAATCCTCACAACCATCCTACAATGTAGATTTTTTTTCCCACTTCATAGAAGAGGAAACTGAGGCTCAGAGAAAAGTGACAGAGCTTGGATTCGGACCACAACCGGCCAACTCCAGAATCTGTTCTCTGTGTGATATACCATGTGACCTTCCCATTTCTACCCAGGAATCTTTCAGTTCCTACCCAGAATCCCCGTGAGAGAAACAGGAAGAAAAGACTTGCAAACATTTAGAAACTTATTCCTGTAAATACCGTGATCAGCAAGAAAATAAAATCCAGAAACTTGATTCAAAGGTGGCAGATATATTAGAAACCACCAGATTTGATGTCAGCAATGCAGTGTGCAAACATGAAGTACGGAATCTTCATTAGTAAGGTATGTCTTTTCAGGCACCTACAAAGGCTGTTTTTCAGTAGATACTTTAAGTACAAGTACTGGTGTATTATTATTGGCTAAAGAGTTTTTTTAAAAAATCTGCTCACTTTTAATTTTCTTTCTTTCTTCCATAAGCCCATCCCACCCTCAAGCCCCTCACTCCTGGCCACCAAAATCCAAAATAAAATGGTCTGTAAATGTTGGCAAAGTTTTGAGAAGCAAATACTTTGGGATAAAATTTTTATTTTAAAATCTCTTTCATCAAATTCTATATTCTTCCACTGTGGTCTCCAGCCAATGAAGTAATTACTCTTTATATACAGTATATGACCCAAAACTGCACTAGGTAATGGAATTGCTCTGTGTTGCATTCCAATATTTCACACTTTTTTCGCTAATGTTCAATACTTTATTAGTAGAGAATAAATTGGTACATTTCTTTTATTGTCGTTTTTGCTTTCCTTTATAAACCAGCTTGGATGAAAGAAATATCATAAGGTAGTTAATCATCCAAAGGCTTGGTAGTGACACTTTTTTTTAATACATTATTAAGGTTTCTTTTGAAGATGTAAAAAAAAATTACCCATCAAAAAGAGCTATAACTATAAATCTGAAAACATGTGAGATTTATACTGTACAAGTTTTTCTAATGATTCTATATAATTTTTAAAGATCTTGCTGTTTTTACTAGTCCACAAAATATCAGTAAGTACAAACTTGAATGATAGTGATTCATATTCACTTATTTTACTATAACATGTCACAACAGAAAGTTAAGTAGATTTTTTTTCCCAAAGAAATATCTACTTCCTAGCTGTGGGATATTTAGGAAAACCTAAAGACGTAAAGAATGAATATGTGCTCCTTATGTATTTGGAGAATCCTATTCATTGACTTTCAAGCCAAAATGACAAGTGCCCCTACTCACTGATTCTGTTCCAAATCGGAAGAAGAAGCCAGAGTGACAGGTGTCAGGGGATGTGTACGTAGGCTTGGGTTCTTCGTGCACCCAGCTGCATCCTGCGGTGGTTATTAATGCCAAAGAGGTCAGTGTCAGCCTGCTTGACGGTACAGAAAATGAATCTGTTGAACACCTGTGCTGTATCGATCATATTGGGTATGTAGAATATGTTTGCTTGAAATATTAATGTTAGAAAATTAATGTTATTTCACTTTCTTTGTAGGGTGAGAGTGTGTCTTGATAGTATAAAGGAGGAGCTATTAAGTCTTACATCAGGATGAAAGTAAAACAGAACTGTCCCAGCAAACCAGGGCATATTCCACCTTACTTATTATTTCCCGGAGGAAGCATGCAGATTTGCCACCTCAAAGAGCTACTTAGGATCATAATTTTGCTTTTCCTTTAAAGTCTTTCTATGTAAGCTCTAGCAAAAGGTGAGCAGTAAGGCTGATATTTGCTATGAGACAAAATTGT